AGAGCTGTTTTGGTCTCAGGACCCTGGCATCGTCAGGTTCGAAGATGGGCTGCCTTTGGCAGCCGAGTCCTGTTTCAAGCCGGTACTTGGAGCTAGTACCTCCAGATTTTCACAGGGGCCAGCTTTTTCCTTCCCAAGAAAACATCCCAGGGCTCTAACCCCTTATTTTCTGGAAGGGGGTGCCAAACCAGGCAGTGATTAGGTAATAGCTGCTGTGACTCCCCTGGGCATTCTTTGTCCTAGAAATTCTGAACCTGGTGCTTTGCTCCTTCCTTTGGGACTACTGTTCTCAGTATCCAGTAGAAGAAGCAGAGAACAGCTCTTGCCCAGAGGTTCAAATTCTTAACAAACCAAGCCTGTGAGAATGTGAATAAAGGTGAAAAATGTTCATGTTATTAGGCATCTCTCTTGAGTATCCCAGCATAGAAGAGCAGAGTTGGAGAGCATGGCCTTCCAGAATCATTTCTTCTAGAATTATTTGATATTTAGCACTCCCCTTTATGCTAATAGCTACAGATTACTGGCTGTCTATGTTGATAGACAATATCGATTCCAATGACTCCTCCATTATGGCCCCAGCATTGTTTGCCTTCTTTTTCACCCAGGTGCATTATTATGGGGTTAGAGACTGAGACCCACTGAATGCCTACACTTATGGCCAACTCCTTCCTTGGCGGATGGCACTACCTTGGCTGTGATTTTGGCCAAAGAGTGTTAAGGGAACTCCAAGGGAGATTGTTCTGGGGCAAAGGTCTCAACTCCTGGTGATAAAGGGAAAGGAGGCTTTGGAGTCTGAGGACATGGGTTCCAACCTTTCCTCAGTTACTCTGTATGACCTTGAACAAGTCACTTTCTGGGCCTCATTTTCCTCACCTGTGAAATGGGGGAGTGAGAGGGGATGTTGGACTGGATGAACTCTGGTACTTTCCACCTTTAAATCTATGATCTCATGATCAGGACTAGTTCGAGTCTGTAGACCCCAGACTTTAGGCTGGTGGGATTGGCTCTATCTAATATAGGCCATGGGGGAGTGGGACAGGGAGAGGACTGTTTAGGGGACTCGCCCTGCCATTAAGGCTAGCCTAAAGTCCATAAGAATGCCAAATGTGAAACACTCTGCTTTGCCCCTGTGCTCACTTACCAGTTTAGTGAGACAGGTGAATGAAGCTAGAGAAAGCTGAGGGCAGGTTCCTTAAGGTATTAGAGAAACAATTAACTTTCAGGAAAAACAAGAAAATCTCAGTAAGGGAAAAGAGATAAGGCCAAGAACACTAGTTTTCATCGAGGTAGGGGTGGGGAACGCTAATATCTCATTTCCCCATCAATCCAGCCAGTCTCCATTTTGGGATACTATCTTGTGACTGACCTGAAATAAGCTCAGTTCAACTATTAAATGTTTCCTGTGATGGCCTTCTCACTAAGAAAATAGGATCATAGAAAATTAATAGCTGTAAATGACTTTAGAGGATGGTCGCGTGCAATCTCTCGCCTCTACGACAACGGACAGGATGTTCATCCTCTGCCCACATGCTTCCTGTGTATGGAGAACTGACTTTGGAAATCACCACCCTAGACTTTCAAACTGTGTCACTGATATGCAGGCAGGTAGGTGGCACAGTTAACGGAGCATCGGACATGGGAGGCAGGGAGATCTAAATTAGAATTCTGATTCAGACACTAGCTGTGTGACCTTGGGCAAGTCCCTTAACGTCTGACTCAGTTTTCTTCATCTGTAAAGTGGGGATAACAATAACACCTCCCTCCCAACGTAGTTGTGAGGATCAAACAAGATAACACTTTGCAAACCTTAAAACCACCATAAAAATGCAAGCCCTTAGATAATCAGCAGTCTATAGTGCTCATGAATGCTTAATGAAGGAGAAGAATACGGTGGGAATCTTAGCCCTAAAAACACGTTAGCATCAAACATGTTAGGCTTCTAAAGTCCAGGAAACACCTGGTGTTCTATTACTAGCCATATTATATGCCAAATGAACTTTCAAGATTAGTTTGTCCTTTTAAATAAGTGACAGAACCGGGAAACACAAAGTTACTGAGTCACTTTAACATAAGGACCCAATTAGGGTATATTTCAAATGAGATCCTGTCTAAATGAGCCAGGGATGGAGAGACATCATCTATCAGATAACTTAACACTTGCCAGCTCTATCCAGGAATGGAGTCTACAGCATGCACAGCAGAGCTGGTCCTAAATCTATGTTATGTCACTAAATAAACATTTGGTAAGTACCTATGTACCAGACACTGTGCTAAGCACTAGGGATACAAAGGAAAGCAAAACATAATTCCTATTCTCAAGGAGACACCAAATAACAATGTAAATAAGTTAGATACAGGAGAAATTTGAGATCAGAGATAAAGGGAAGGCACTAGAATTAAGGAGAACCAGGAAATGCTTACTATAGAAGAGGGGATTTCAGCTAGGAATTGAAGGAAGCCAGGGAAGCCAAGAAGCACAGATGAAGAGGGAGAGCATTCTAGGCATGGGGGACATCCGGTAAAAATGCTCAGAAACGAGAAATGGAATCTGGCCTCAGACCAAACACTTGACACTCACTAGCTGTGTGACTCTGGGCAAGTCATTTAACTTCCACTGCCTAAAAAAAAATGAGAAATGGAGTTTCTTATTTGAGGAACAGCAAGGAGGTCAGTGTCACTAGATTGAAGAGTAAGGGGTGGGGAGTAAGGTGTAAAAAGACCAGAAAGGTAGGGGTGGGGAGAGGATTTTGTATTTGATCCTAGAGGTTGATAGGGAGCCACTAGAATTTATTGAGCAGGAGAGTGACATGGTTGCACTTTGGTGCCTGAGTAGAGGATGGACCGAAGTGAGGAGAAACTTGTGGTAGAGAAACCAGCCAGCAGACTATTGTGACAGTTCAGGGATGAGCTTACGAGGGCCCGCCCTGGGGTGATGGCAAATGTCAGAGAACTGACTGTGAGCTTATGAAGGTAAAACTGATAGGCCTACAAGGTGGGTGAGAAGTCTACAACAGCATGTAGGCTAGGAGCCTGGGAGACTTGGAAGGACTTGACAGTAATAGGAAACTTAGGAAGAGTGGAATATTTTGGGGAAAAGATACCAGAATAAATTTTGGACATGTTGAATTTAAAATATCTAATAGGCAGCTGAAGTTGCAAAAATGGAAGTCACCAGAGAATTTAGGCCTGGATAAGGTTTGAGAATTATCAGTATAGTTAAATCTATGGGAGCTAATGAGATCACCAAGTGGAGTATAGAGGGAGAAGAGGGCCCAAGGACAGAACCCTTTGGGACAGCTAGTTATTGGGCATGACACGGATGAAGATTCAGCAAAAGAGACAGAGAAGGAGCAGTTGGACAGAACTGGGAGAGAGTAATGTTGCAAAAGCAGGGTGTGGGTGTGTGGCTGGCATCTAGAACTGGGTGATTTTTTTTTCCTTTTTCTTTTGGTGAGGCAACTGGGGTTCAGTGACTTGCCCAGGGTCACACAGAAGTGGGTGATTGACAATGTCACAGGCTAAAGAGATATCAAGCATAGGATGACCACTGCACTGGGCAGTGGAGAGAGCAGCTTGGTTTGAATGACGTCAGGAGCCAGGCTGTACAATTAAGGAGAGGAAATGGGGACACCTATTGTGATAGAAGGCATCTGGGAGAGGTGGGTTGAGAAGAGGAAGCTTTCAATGAATGACCTCAATTTTGTCTGTTTAAGAAGCAAGGTTCTCACCTGGGAGGGCGGGTGAACTATGGGAGGTTTGAGGAGGGATGAAAAGATCCAGAAGAGCTGCTGTGCTGAGTGGGATAGTGAGTCAACTATGGAAGTGTAAAAAAGACTGTCGTGATGCAGTGAGGTTCCAGTTGAGATTATGTAACAAATTTGCTGTGAATCCAATTAACATGGTTTTGATTTTTCACTGGCTTTATTTGGAAGCATGTGAGAAGCAAAGGCAGCAGATGGTGGGAGTAATCCAAGGCTGAGGATAGCAGGGCAAGATTAGTAATAGGATCAGGGGCAAGGGATTCAAAAGAATAAGAGTATAGAGTTGAACTGGTTCACTAATGGGAGAGCTTACTCAGCGCAGGGATAGGGGCCTGAGAAAGAACTGATGGGGGAGGGACTGGAGGAGGTGGAATGACAGTAGGTTGTGACTGGATAAGAGAATTTTGGGGTTCATGAACATGGAAGTGGAGTGATGACAAGATCAAGGGTATGACCATCTCTGTGTCTGAGATGGGGTGCAAGAATGACTGGTCATGGGAAATGAGCAAGTTAAAGACCGGTGTGGAGTAAAAGTGTTTCAGGAGGTATCAATATGTGTGCTGAAGTCCCTTAGTACGAGGGCAGGAGCTGGGGAGGAAAAACTGTTAGCCAGTCGCAGAATACTGCCTTTCTCTGAGCAATTGGTATGAATAGTGATGTCTTGGAAAGATCTTACACTAGGACTACATCACGTTTATATACCGTTATATATAATTACTAAAGCACCTTACTCACAACCACCCTATGAGTATTATCACCCCCATTTCACAGATGAATTAACCATCCTGCTTAACACACATGGGCTTTGAAAAACAAATGCAGCTATTGACAATCCCGGGTAATGAATAACGAAGATCCCATGAACAACTAAATTCAGATAAGGCAAAAAATGCAGTTTAGTTAATGGTTTAAACCTTTTCTGTTAAAAGGCCTTGTATTATCCCCCTCATAAAGCAGTGAAAACTCTTCCCGTAAGATCACTGGAATAGAGATACAAAAGGGCATCACATTTCTAACTGTAACTTAGCTATTTTAAGTAAAGAGCCAAGAAAGTAACCTCACTGATTACTTTTTTTGTGGAGGGCTTTGGTATCTCTATATGACCAGTTCTTGAAAGGATAACAAGGAACTTTTAAAAAAAAAGCCTTCACTAAAATCTTCAATTTCTCTTCCCACAAGTCAGCAGAATGTTTACACACTACCGAAGGGCCACAGTACAGATGAAGACAACACAACTCACAGAATTTCCTTATTTATTAAAGAGCAGAAATAAATTTTGCTTAAATTTCATACAAAAAAACAAACATTAAAACTTAGTTTTTAAGTCTTTCCACTGGAATAAAATTGAGAAATAAGTTGGCTTTTAGATAATATATTTATTTAAAAAAATAAAAGTAATTGACAAAAGATACCACATTATACTTCATGCTGAGGGGCTCTCCCCAGACCCAGAAGGCCGTCATTCATTCTTCAGTAACACTTGGCCTTCCCCAGTAATGTAAACACAGGAACCCCTTCAACCTAGTCTCAGTCACCAGCACTAGCTCAGCCACAGGAGCCGGGGGATATCTCTGTGCCATGAGCTGAGCTCCTTAGTAAAGAAAATTTGAGTGAACACTGAACAAGTATTTCACTAAAAGATGATGATTTATTAAAATTATAAAGTAGCAGTCTTATGGTCTGTAAATAGTTTACACCAGAAATTTTCCATTGTTGCAGCTCTGCTCCCCAGGACAAATTTATTCAGTATTCAAAGGTAATGAATGACAAAGACAAGGCATTATTTCCTGCATGCTTTCTTGGGCCAAAACCAGTAGGACTACATGTATGTTTTACAAGATAGGACTTGGAATTCCCTCTTCTCACAGAGGCTAGTTAAGGAGTGTTACCAAGAACGAAGACTAGAAGTTATACAACATTGATTATTATAAATTAGATTTGTTCTTATCCACCCCCATTCTCCTCAATATTTTCTGATTCTTTCCTGCAGAAAAATCTGCTTCCTATTTCTCATTACAATAACAATTAAGTCACTAATGATGATTAGAATGTGCTGTGGAGGCCTTGATTCTGAAGACATTTATGCGCAGGTGAGAAGCAATCTGATTGCAGACACTGACACAGTAGCGAATTAAATCAAATAAGGAGAAGACCTGCAAGGAAAAGAGCTTTTTAGAGTCTTGCAAAGTGTTTGGACCCTCCCTGGGCCATATGAAAAAAATACCAAGGCATCTGTCTCTTCACCAGAATCACACTTAATCCCTGAAAAACCAAATGAATAAAATTCCTACATGTTCCATTCCTTTAACTAGGCAGTTAGTATTTGCAAGCCATGGTTTTGCTGGTCACAGTTTGCAGCTACTGGACATAGGCATCAAATATGACTATTAAACAGATATACATGATCACTAAGCCCAGAAACACTTCACGAAGTCCTATAGGCATGATCATGTTCTGAAGGTCCCAAATTAATTCACATTCATTACAAATTCAAGCAACCACAAGCTTATGTGTGCCATTATTAGATAAACTAAGAAAACTTAGGTTTCAGTTAGAAATTATAAACTGGCCCCTCAAAATGATGTTACCTTTACTTAATGAGGTAAACAAAGTATACCGCTTACCAGAGCAATCCAAAGCACAATATATTCATCAATAAAGCTGTTAAAGTACTGGTCCAGAAACAAAAGGGCAGGACCTATGAAGGCTGTGTCGTGTAGACTCATTTCACTCTTGGTCATGTGTGCAACCTGTGAGTAAAAGAGAATTTAGCAGTGTACCTTCACACTGGCTAACAGTGTGGTGCCAGAATTTGGTTTCAGGGATTGTTCAGCTACACAAACAGAAACAAAAACTTATTACATAGGAAATAAGTTTCACTATTTCAATTATCTGTTATTTTGTACAACTCCTCTATGACTTAGTAAGTCTTTGAGATTTGCTGTGCACTCAAAAACTACCAAACAACGGAATGAGCCTCTTGAAGGCTAGGCTGTTTCTCAGACAACAGACCCTCACTAGGTCCACCTTCAAAACCCTTCTAGCTTGGTAGAATCCACCTCAGCTTAGTCACTTGACTATTGTTTCTTAAAGTCTAGAGTCACAGCCAAGCTGTGATGAGGCATCAGCAGGGCTTTAGTGGTAGTGGGCCCTATGCAAAAGCAAGAAACAATTAATTCCCCCTCCTGAAAGTCTTCAAACAAAGACTAGATAAGGTATTGTGAGGTATTTTGTAGAAGGGATTCCTCTCTTAGGCACTGGTTGGATTAGGCCTCCAGGGTGCTTTCCAACTCTGAAGTTCTTTAATTATATGTAAAGGTCTAATCATATCATTCCCCTGTTAATGAACGCCAATGGCTCCCTATTACTTAGAATATCAAATATAAAGTTGTCTGGTTGGCATTTCAAGCTCCTCAAAATCTTGCCTCCTTTTTCCTTACCTCACTCTCCTCCACTAATTCCACAATCTAACACCCATGATCTACTTGTCACACCCTGAAGCCTAGAATACTCTTGGCCTCTCAAGCTTCCCTGGCTCCTTCCAAGACCCAGGTGACATCCCACTTTCTGCAGAAGGCCTTTCCTAGTCATGTCCTACACCTCTTTTATGTACCTGTCTTGTGCTCCCTGGGGGCAGGGCTGTTCTTGGCCCCAGTTCTCAGCCCAGCGCTCAGCACAGAGTAAGCACTTAATAAAATGCTTGCTGACTGACATGATAATAAAATTTTTGTTTTGTGACCGATTCCCAAGGAAGGCAATAATAATAATACTGGCTGATGCTATTTCAGTGTTTTACAGTTTACAAACTAATTTTTTTCCCCTCAACAACCCTAAGGTAGGAAATGCAAGCATTATTGTTCCCATCTTACAGATAAGTTAACTGATAATTCACCCAAGTAAAATGACTTGCCTGAAATCACAAATCAAATGGCTGAACTGAAACTCAAATCCAAGTCAGGGTGCAAAACGAATTTGGGAAAACAGAGGGAAGGTCCCTTATTCTTACACCTGGAGAGAAAAACTGATCTTTGTACAAGTCAATGTTTGGTCATGGTGACAAGCAGGTGTGGCTGCCCAGTGGGCAAAGCCGGCCACTGCCACCAAATGAAGCTGTGATTCTGTGCACCCTTCCTTTTGGCTTGGCCCGTGCTTCCTTAACCTTGTGCTGCTCTGGACAAAGAGCATCTGAGGCTTGAGACCAAAGATCAGAATTCAAGTCAGCATCCTAAAATGGAGGGTGGGGGGTGGTGGTATGTGTGCAGAACAGAAACAACGGCACATACAGGTCACTAAGGTCAGAGGACACTTATCTGGCTGGGAAAACTAAGATGTATGTGAAAAGGTAAAGGGGCAAAGGCAGGTCTCTCACTCTTACATATGGAAAATGCAGAAAGGGAAACAGGCTCTTTCCTAAGAACTTGGCTGCCTACAGATGGCACCATGACAGACAGGGATGACAACCCTAACTCAGAATCCTAGTCCAGGCCTGCTACAGCTTTGAGCCTGCTCTAAGGGTGGTGCTCCCTATTAGCAAACTGAGGCATCATCCAAATCCATGTTCTTAAAGTGGGGGACGCAGTGACATTCCAAGAACTGAACATAGAGCTGTAGCTGCAGGATAGTGGGAAAATATCAAACTTAACATCAAAAGTGAACCCAGGTCCTTCCTCATCAGTAAGTATTTATTAAGCATCTACTATGTTTCAGGCATTGCTTTAGGTGCTGGAGATACAAAGAATAGCAAAAGACAGTTCTTGCCCTCAAGGAGCTCATGGTCCAACAGATGGGGACATACCTTTAAGATGTGCCTATCTTTAAGATACACTTTGAGAATTTGGAGGAAGGAGAAATGAGCTTGAAGGAGTTCCCAGGGAATTGCGGGGTAAAAAAACCCAAGAATTACAGACTTAGTCCACATGTAAAACTGAAACAAACAAAAATGAGGTGTCTTATTTTAGTGCTTACCACAAGCTTGTTAGTGATTTTAGCAGCTACAAAACCAAATGTCAGTATATAAAGACAGGGATGTTTTTCAAAGAGTTGAACAGCTGACTTCTTGTAGATCATTGCAGCTAATGTAATCACTGATCCAATATGGAGAAAAGGAGAAAGGACACTTGTTCCCTATACAGAATCAAGAGAAGAAAAGTGTTAACACAGTGTACCCCAATGACATCAAATGGATTTGCTGAGAAGTCTGAGCAGGCTCCGTGCCTTTCAAATTCCAAATTTGTGGAATTTGTGGAAGCTGTGCCTGACAGCTGTTTCTTCAGCTGAACAAAGGAACAGCTGACCAAAGCAATGGCAGCAGGGATTAAGCAAGAAAAAAACAAAAACAGAGGAATTCTCCTGTGAGTTCAAATTTACTAAGCCATGCACCCCTAAAGTTATTGTTTGTTTGTTATTAAGGCTAAAGGAGAAAGCTATAAATTAATATAACTATGGCTATTTTTTTTTTAAAGAAAAAGTTTCAAATGAAAAAATGAAAGCACAGCTCTTCTGAATCCTAGCTCAAACTTGAACCAGAAATAGCAAGTGATGGTACACTTACTGCTATGGTTGATCCGTTTTTGCCCACACCACCTGTGAAGATTACACGGAAGTAATTTGTACAGGAGAATATGGTCCCTGCTACAGTACAAAGCGCTGGAAAAATTTTCATTTGAATATTCAGCACTGGAATCTTTAATGGGAGAAAGAGAACAAAGTTAAAACATGTACAACATAAAATAAGCACATATATTTATTCAAAAAATTTAAATACTTTAAAACCATGTTCCTAAATTTATAAGCATTATCCTCTCCCAAACCCCTGTGGCCCCATTTCGGGAAGAACAGCTCTCATTTAAAGCAACAATAACCAAGTATGTTTTCCTGTTCTTTCCTATCAGAGACAATGCTGCCACACTTCAGGGAATGAAACTGAACAGCATTAAGTCTCATTTGTCTTGACATCCTTTTTTGGCAAAACAAGACAATAATACAAGCTTTTTCATGAGTAACACAAGTAGGTTCCGGTGTAAGGCAAAACTAGCCTGGAGTGAATCACACAATGAACTCTCTTTAGGCCTTTATGATACATACCCTGTTCCTTCTGACCTCAATTCTCCAATCACTTATTGTTATTTAAGAGCAGTGGAAGAAAACATTTCAAACAAGACAAAGTCTTGGGCTGGATTTAAAACAATGGCTCCTGGATAAGGTTCCTAACCCCACATGAATCGAAGTTGTTAGTGCAAGCCAAAGGCAACTGAGGAGGAAACTAAAAGAAAAGCTGGCAAGAAGGCCCCCAACAAATTCATCCAAGTGTACCTCACTTTAATATGAGCCTAAAAACAAAAATGTTAACAGAACATGCTTTATAAAATGGGGGATTATTCACTTTACTCAAGGATTCACTACATAGTTCCTCTAATCAGTGAGGTTATCTCCAATTAAAATACAGTTGCTTATTATTTTTAAATTCATTAGTGACTAGAGGAAAGATGCTGACAAACCTCCTGTGAAAAGCACCTAGGATGGTTCACAGAATTGGGGATTACGACCACATAAGTAAGTAGCAGTTGAGGAAAGTGGGGCCATTTAGCTTGAAGAAGACTTAGGGAGGACCTGACAGCAGTCTTAAAATGGGAAAGGTTGTTATGCAGAAGAGAGACCAGGATTGTTCTCCTGGGCCTCAGAAGGTAAAACTAGAGGAAATAGGCAGAAGTTATGGAGGCACATTTTGGTTGGCTATGAAGAACTTCCTAATAACTAGGGCTAGACCAAGGAAGAATGAGCTGCCTTGGAAGGCATCACTGAAGGTCTCTGAGCAGAGACTAGATGGATGACCACTTGTCATGGATGTTATAGCAGCATCTCCTGCTAAGGAGATGGGGAGGACCTTTGAGGTCTCTTTCAACTCTGAGACTTTGTGCTCCTAATTGACAATGTCAGACGTGTAACTACCATATAAAGTGAGGTATACTTGCAGTGAGTTTTTAAAGTCCATATTTCACTAAAAAGTCTTCTCCACAAATTTCTATCCCTTTTCCCCTAAATTTAGCTTTTTCCATGTATTATAAAAGTTTTTTTGTATTATGTCCAACTTTAAAACAGTGATAGTAAAATGGAAATAGAAACAAGTTAATTGCTTTCACAGAAGAATACAGATGCAAGATTAAAAGATCACCAATGACTTAAGGTACAATGTTTTACCCACTTTTCTTACAGTGTAAAGCATGTAAGAGTGTGAGTGAGGATAAGAAATGTAGCCTTTAAGATCTGATTTCATTATAAATCCCAATTCAAAAGGGAATAGAATGTAGATAAAAGCTAAATTAAGCCTAGGGAACTGTAATTATTTCACAAATGTCTCATCTTACTCCATTCCTTCAAAACACTGAAGAACCCAGTTTATTTACAGAACTCTATGACCTCTTGCAAAATTGTTCTGTTAAGTTGTTTTTTCAAAGCATCTGTTGATATTTCATGTTGCGTTATGGAAGATTTTAATTTCATGAATTCAACATGCTGGTTCAGTTTAAAAAAATGACATTTTCTCAAATTTTATCTGGCACATGCTAGAACACACTGAACTCTGAACTGCTCCCCTTACCTTCAACCCTCTCCCAATTCAAAACTCATTTTCAATTCAGGAGGAGCAGTACTGTTGCTCCAAAAAGTAACTCTGTTCTAGCTCAGAAAACCGTAAGATCATCTCAAGTCAGCTAAACCTGCCTGAAATCTAAGTCACTTCTCACCATTTCTTTGATCACTGTGTTTTCTTACACAAGGACAAAGAAAACCTTTGGCAAAGATAAAAATGCCATCTTCCCCCATTTTAAAATGAGCACTAAATATAGGGAATCCCCTACACCACACTGGTGCTAATACCCATGGTATAGGCTAACCTTGATATAACAGGCTTTTACTGTACGTAGTTTTTATGTTTTAGGGGACACGATTTGACCCATGGTATACATCCAAATCTGTGTAATAAAGATCTGTGCCATAACAGAGTTCTACTGTTTTAAAATTTGATGAAATCACTTTAGGGTCATGGAAGCTCATATTGGTGCCCTATGGAAGAAGAAAAAAGAATATAGAGCATTAGTACAGCCAGGCAAATTAGTACACGGCCTGGGCCACAAAGCAGAGAAAAAGGCAGCAGGCCTAGAGGGAAAATATAAGCTGTTCTCCTTCTTTCTCTTACCTTCTCTGCAGGTACAACTACACAGGAGCCCAGGCACTCTGCCCTTGCATGAGGGAGGCAAGAAGTCAGCTTCAGAGGCGCAGGGGAGGAAGGACTAGGGTCAGGTGAACTTTCAGTCTCAGAGTCTCACCCCTAGGGTCTACACTGGGATACAATACTTAGGCACCACTACTTAACCTACATTCTTTTTAACCCTTACAACTCGGGGCACAATGACAGTAGTAGCCACCTACAACTTTCCTTTGCCTTAATTCCTCTAGCAATGTCCTTCTGCACCTCAGAAGCCATGACAGCCACTGGTCTGCCATCTCTGAAAATTTGCTGATGGTGAGAGCTGCACTGACCACATACTACCTCTAGCCTAGAGCAGTGCTTCTTAGTGGTCACAACCTACAGTTTAAGAAGCACTGAAGGGGTCAAAAGTGGAAAAAGTTGAAGAAGCCTTGCCCTATTGGACCTGAGTCTCTTTCATGTATAAATTTTAAGGCAGTTTGGACAGTGTGTAAAGATGGTTCTGAGAAGTAATAATAAAATGTGCTTTTTTAGCACTTTAGACTTTTAAACAAAAGTCTTTCTTTCATACTGTAAGGATCACAATTTTCTCAGTTGTGGGAGATTCCCTCCACCAAGGAATATATGGCAATTCCTTTACAACTTTGTTGATGGTTTTCAAGAGTTGTGGTGATTGAAAAATTCATCATCTCTGGTCAATCTGCAGTAGAACATCTCCACCAATGGTTAAGCTGATCCTCAGGTAAGAGAGGAATAATCATTCCCCAGACCTGTATTAAAATTCTTTCCAGCTTGACTGGGTCTATTAGAGTTAGCACTCTACTGGTACAGCCTTCAAGAATTCTCAGGATCACCACTATACCCTGAGGTGGCACTGGAGTAGAATTCTAGGGAAAGATAACAAAATCCAACCTTTTTTATGGTCCTCTTTTGGTCTATGACTTTGCAACTGATACAAACACAGCTGTGCAAGAAAAATAATTTCTGGGACAGCTAGGTGGTGCAATGGATACAGCTCCGACCCTGGAGGCAGGAGGACCTGAATTCAAATCCAGCCTTAGACACATAACATTTACTAGCTGTGTGACTCTGGGCAAGTTACTTAACCCCAACTGCCTCACCAAAAAAAAAAAATCTTACATTTGAAAAACAAAACCCTACAATAAGGCACTGTGGCCACTCTATTAATCTTGATGAAAATCCATTTCTACCAAGAAAAAAAAAAGGGGCCAGAAATTGAGTCTTCTCAAATTCAGAAGGGCAGATATAATTCTTTTTTTTTTTTAAACAGAACAAAACAAAAAACAGCTAATCTTCTCAAAGCAGCTCATTATGCAATGGACTGCTTGCCTGGGCAAATATCTTAAGTCTAGATTTCCTGTGTTTAAAGTATTAGGCTCTTCTCTTTTTACTATAAATCTACTTTCTTTAAAACTACAGTAAAAGGAACCATTTCAAATAACTTTAATTTCACATGGATTTAGAAAATAGCACATATTTTGGTACTCCCCAAATATTTCTTTGATTGTGGGGTAGCTAAGCCATTTATCAGTTGTAGCCAACTACCAAAACCTATAAGAAAGTTATTATATCCCTGAATTCTACCACATCATGCTTCACTTCCATCATATATAAATGTCTACACTGCTATCACGTCTTTATCCTAAATTAGCATAGTGTCAGGCTCTGAAGTAACATTTTTACTATTATTTGATAATGAAAACACATAGCCAAAAAACCCCCCAAATGCGGCAGCTTCATGTTAATTACAGGAACCTGTACTGGGCACTGATCTACAGAGGTGTCAAACATCTCCACAATAGGCCTGAAACACTCCCAAGTCCCCAGAACCAGATTGAAAACGTAGCTGGGAAATACTTAACACAGTTTAAAAAAATACAATAAAACACATAATGTTAATATGTGGATTTCTAAGTCAATACCGTTTAGTGGCCCATTTCTACTGGAGTTTGACATCACTAATCCATATCCTTTATGCATCTCACTTTAAAATCTCAGCACAGAAATCCAGGCCGATATGCTAATAGCATGAGGACGCTGAGGGAAATTATTTCCTGGAATTCAGTTTTCACTTTTAATTTAAAAACAAAGTGGTGGAATCTATCTGAGGACTTAAAGTAATAAAAATCAAGTTCTCACAGACGTTATTTGAAGCACTCTGCACAAAATGTGGTGGAACGGCTTTAAATAAAATCTACCAAGATCCTATACTGGTTGTAGTCTTATTTCCTTTCCCCTACCTTCCCTGGCCTTTAACTCATTCCTGGCAGTCAATGCTTAGGGCAGGGTATTAGGAGCATACCTCCTCCTTAAGTGAATGGATTTTTTTTCCCAATATTTTGCTTTTAACTTAATCAGAATTTTAAAGAAAATGATTATTTCTAGCTCAAGAACTTGCTTTTAAGATAACCACCAAATAACTTTGTTCAGAGGGGGGGAAAAAAGTAACACTACAG